ATCTAGAACTCCCTTTAACTTGTCAACTTTGTGGTCCAAAAGAACTCTGAAAAGTGTGATCTGAAACCTCCTACACAATAGAATCTGCAAAATAGTAGCATTAAAAGATGGAATGGGGAAAAAGGAAATTCATAAACAATTGAACATAATTTATATTATTGACATTGGGCACAAGTGACCATGGAGGCAAGAAAATAGATACTCTACCTGCTCTGGACTAAGATAAATTGCTCCTATTTCTTTAAAATTAACTGTCATAGTGCCTCGATTAACTTCTAATTCAAACCCCAAATTTCTGATGTCAGTCTCAAGGTGACCCCTCATGGCGAGCACAATGTTTTCAACAGGAATTTCATAATCAAAATTCTGTTTCAACTCTACCAAGTAGCAGTAGTACTTTGTCTTGGATGAATTTGAACAATGATTAACCAGTTCAAGTGGAAAATAAATTGGTTGGTCATCATCATATGGCTCCTTCTCTATGAAACAAAATGAAAAAAATTAATAACAATAATAATAATAAAATAAATAAATCGCAGGGTTAAAAGAAAACAAGAGATTTGGAGCACCACTCAAGCATATCAAAAGAATTTTCTAAAGTCAGTATGCTTAAGAAAAATGAAAGCTAAAACAGTTACCCAATTCTTGTGCATCAGCCTCTTCGACTACAATGTCAGGAACAAGGTGATCTGTTAAAGCACCAACTTCATATAATTTTTTGCATGCTTCCAGGCATGCCTTTTGCTTTAGAGTTTTAATGTTTCCTTCCATACAAACAGTTTGCACAGGGCAACTGTTGGGAAGATGCAGTGTACAAATTCCCATGATCTTGTCTATTTCAAACCTTGGAGCTGGTCTAAAATACCTACAGAAGATAAGCAACAGAATAAGAAAAAGAGAGCCATAATAGAAAACAACAAATATAAGACCTTAACAACAATCAATCAAGATTAGCAGTGTGAATGATAAAGATTAATTGCTAACCCATCAGATGGCAGGCGTGAGCAATAGTAGTATAACAAAGAAACACTGGAACTAAGTGTCACAACAGCCCCTGTACTTGGAACACAATATGACTCTTCATATAGACCATTTTCAAGAGGAGAGCATGGATCAGAAGCATGGCATAATGACTCCCTTCTCATTATATCTCCACTCACAAGATAGCTCTCCAGTCGAGAGTGTGTAGAATGATCTCCACTACAAATTGCCACATAAGAGGAAGAAATACCCATTTAGAGGAATTTTTTATCTTAACAGTTATTTTGCGGTAGCACAACTTTTAAGACCTTAAAAGATTGAGAAAACACTAAAAAGGAAATGAATATCACCTCTTAACCATTAGTAGATAATCTGAATTTTGTGTTCTAGCACGTCCTCTGGACTGTATGAAACTGCAAACTGTGGCTGAAGGATCAAATCTAATGACTAAATTGCAACTTTGAACGTCTAAACCTTCCTCAAGAATTGATGTTGCAACAATTATGTTCACCTAAAACAGCATCATTCCAACATCAGTTCCTCCTTGGTAGTTTGTTCGTGTTGGTAGTTTGTTTGTGTTGCACTAAATCAAACACCACACATACATACCAAGCCTTTGCGGAATTCCTGTACAATTTCATGTTGTGTCTTCCTAGTCTGGCTCTGCAATCCAGAGTTGTTTCCCGCTATGTATTTCGTCTTCCAGTTAATGTACTTTGGAAGCAATTCACTCAATAGAGATTGAAGTACAATGGCTGTAATCACCCTTTCCACGAAAATTATGCACCTTATCTCTTTGAAAAGCCTGCATTCAAGTGATGAATTAGAAACTTAGCTGATGAAATGATGAAAAAAATGAATAGTTTGATACTTTTATCCATCTTTGCTAGAATCTAAGCAACTTCTGAGGTGATTTACATCAATGAACTGAAATTCATTTATTCATTCACAGGAGAAAGGAAAATCCTTCAAGAATTTTAATCTAATACAAATTTGGGCATGGTAAAGTGGGATTAAATGCAAACCTTATAAAATATATTCTTTGACTGTATCCATTGCTTTAAAATAAATAACTCTGACAGAACAAATCTGCCATTTGAGAAGTTTCAAGATGTTCTTAGCCTTGAATTTGAAATAAAAAATTTGCCTGATCTGAACTTTAAACAAACAAAAAGAGAATGCTTAAAGGCATGCCCCCGCATTGATGGTAAGTTGAAACATCAGAGATATTAATTCAGGAAAATCATTTTTAGACATTTACTCTGTCTTCTTTTCTCAGCTTTTGTGGCTTGGATAAATTGGCATTAAAGACCCTTCTTAAGATTTTCACTGAATTGAGTGCATTATCTCTGCTCAGAAAATTTTATATGGACTTCAAGTGACTTTTGAGAAGATTAAAGGAAATCAAAAAGGAATGAAAAACCTTTTTGATCTCAAACAAATTTGACAAGACCCTTTCACATGAGACCAAACTACATCTAACATGTTTTATGTATCAACAATTGTCATACTTGTATTCAAGAAGTGATTCAACAAGGCAAACAATCTTTGTGGTCAAGAGACCCGCTGCAACATTTCCCTCAATATTATCAGAGATTGTCCACTCAGAACCTGCGTGGTTAAATAAATTTTTTTTAAAAAAAAAGTGTAAATAAATGATAAACCATTGAATAGCAACTCAAAGAAAGGTGAAGAAATACTCGATGGTATATAGGCTGCAAATGCCTGTGATGCATCCAGACTGAAACTTTTAACTATTTTCTCACCAAATACATCCAATTTCCCCCAGACAAGAAAATCACTTTCCCAAGCTGACAAATTTTCTGCAGCCTGTTAAAGATGCATTCTCATAAAAATATCAGACATGCGCATCATTTCTAATGCCAAAATAGCAAAAATTGGAGAGATAGACAGGAAGAGTACCTTCAAAGCCAACCATACACCAAGTTCAGCCAAACAATAGATTAAGGCCAAATGTATCTTTTCTATTTTCTTTGTTGTAGACTCCAATGCAGATGTATTGAGATTTAAATCTCTCATTGAATTTAAATGCTGAAAGGAAGTGCATCTACTGTCAGCAACAAAATATAGAAACCACCAGCTTGAGAGTAACCAGATATTGCCCATGCTGATTGTGTAAAGTACATGGATGCCTCTTACATTTGGAAGAGAACCAATAATCAGAATAAATAGCCACAAATTTTTGGTTTGGTTGCTTTTCTTTGTGTGATTTCACATTAAGAAATTTAGAGTTCTCCTTTATTATACATGGATGATGTTCAGGAAATCATTGTAATCCCAACAGTTCTTGGGCCTGAGAGGTATTTTCAGAATAGAACCATTAGCAGAGCTTATAAGGATTTGAATTTGTTTTGTGGGGGCATGTATCCTCTTATCTTTTTTCTTACAGTGGTGGCTTATACAATATACATACTCTAGAACTTGTGATCATTTGAAATTCAAAAACCATCTTAAACTAACAAGTAGCTTAACCATAGCAAATATAAAGCCAGGAATAAAGTTACTTTTGCAACATTGCAACAATAGAGAATTTCATAAAGAAAAAATTTCAGCATATGATGTTCATACCTTTTCTTTTAAAAGCTCCAACTTCTCCACTATTTGTGCATGTAAATTAGCTGGAATTTCCTTATGCCGATAAAATTTGAATTTTGGGGTAGAAAAAGGTATATACTCAGCAAGCACTGATTGACTAACACATGTATACACCTGCAAGCCATGGGCAACATTTCTTTCAATATCAAACAAGGGAGAAACTTGAAAACAAAAACCCAAAAACCAAAAGAAAAAAAAAAAAAAGCAACCAATTCAAAAAAGAAAAGTGAAAGCATATGCATAAAATTGTTGCACGTGACAAAAATGGCAGACTAGTGTACAAGAAAAACAATAATATCAGAATCATATCTGGTAGCCTCCAACTATCATCAGGTGCAGCTATGTGACTTAACATTTTACAGTTAAGATAACAGGAAATGTTTACATCAGTATGAATCGTCTACAGTACAAGAAGATATTTGAAATCATTATACAAGTTTCTCACAAAAAGACAAAAATTGCTTAGATGCTCAATTCTAAACCCTAGAATGTTCATCCATATAATCCAAAAGTCTCACTTTGAAGAAAATAATAACCATTATTTTTTATATTTTCCTTAGAATTGGTTAGCACCGGATAACTGCAGCAAATAATAGTGGCACTGGCAGAGAGAGAACATTGTACATTGTAAAAGAACCTAACCACTTAAAATTGTGCAGTTAATATCTAATTACATTAACAAAAAAGGCTTTAATTATCTTTTTGTCTGTTTGCAGAATACTAGGTTAAATAGAACATCACTCCAAAATTACACAGATGAAAGAAGAATAAAAATGAAACAATTATATGTTAAACTGAGCAGTGTAGTTACAAAGTAAAGAAGAGACAGTGATAACAACCCAGTGGCAGAATCAAGATCTTCTATCTTCAAATATTGTAATTCAGGGGAAAGAAAGATGTAATGAGTAGTTTAGTGTTTTATCCAAAGGGTCTAGAGAAATATTGCTAAGGAAAAAAGTATTATTTGACAAGAGACAGCAAAAGACCTGAAGAAAAAGCCAAACAAAAAGGAGGAAAAAAGGTTGCCATGATTGTGATTTTTGATGGTATGGATGTTTGCAACAGGTCTATAGGACATGGGTATAGTATATGGAACTAAGGCTTTTTTCAGTTTCTTAAGTATGAAGGAGTATCATAGGAACTGAACCTAGAATTCTAACCCTGAGAGCAATAAAACTAAATTACAATTTACAAATATAAATATAAATATATATATATATATAATCTGATGTTATTGTATTTCCTTTGATGAAAATTAACTCATTAGAATAATTTTTCAGCTTGAATCCTGAGTAAAATGCATGAAAAATTCTTACTCAGTGGAATCAAAAGAGCATATAAAAGGAAACAACTCAATTAGGAGACTTTTTTGAGGTAGATATAGGAATAAGAATAAACCCATTATTAGAACAGAAAAAGCAACCTTTGAATTCATAATGGTTTCAAGTTCACAAATCTGCTTCCAGTAGCTATCAGCTGACTTTGCACCTGTTTTGATATAGGGGTAAAATGTTCATCATTATACAACAGCAAATAACATAAAAAGAAAATAGGCACAATGGACATAAAGAGAATAAAACTACTCTTGCCTTTTGACTTTATAGGTGAGGCAGTCATCCCAAAAATCCTAGGAAGATTGGACTCATGTACACCAGATTTAATCTTGCAATCATAGAAGTCCTGCGATTGAAGTAAATTCCTAAATTACGTGAAAAAGGAAAAGATATTTGCATCAGCTGTAATTCCAATATCTAGCTCTTTGGTGATTTAATTGCAATATTCTCTCTTCTTCCCAAAGTTAGGCCTTATTTGTCAGTTGCATAGAACTTTTTCATACAGCATTTATCTAAAATCTAAATTTATAATTAATTAATTTTAATTAATTTTTTATATACATTTTACTAATTTTAATCAATATTTTATACTTTTTTGGGATAGTAAAAAATTAAAAAAACCTACGTCTACAAAATTGAGCAGCCAGCACTAACAAACAAAGCCTTAGACTTTTAATGACTTTCAATGGTGAATTAGTGATGAAATTGATGACTCAATAATGGATTAAAATTTACTCCACAAAGGGCAATATTAAAACCACAAAATTCTACCAAATATGTGATCAATGACCTTGGTTAACAACAATTCTGTGAAAAGAAAAGAAATTTTTTATTAGATGAAATTGGTTAGCGCCAGAAAAAGAACAAATAGGCTGATGATATAAACAACAAATTTAATTTCAAAAACTTATGAGCAAACTCTCCAAAGATTTTCCCATGGTAATTTAAAGTCTTCTGAACATAAAATCAGTGCACCATAATATAAATAAACCACCAAATATAATTTGAAAGTTCCTCCTACTGTATTCATTTCATTGTACTTGACAAAATGAACATAAGAACTTCAGTCTCTCTAGACAAATGAAAATCTTTAGATTATATAAAGTTATAATGACAACTCACAGTCATGATAGAAGCATAAGGATGTTTTCCCCTGGCATGATGGCATTCATCAAATATCAAAACCTTTATCATGTTTATCTCAAAAAAGCTATGTCTCAAACCAAGAAGTAGAATTGCTGGTGTCATCACAAGCACCTGTGAGCATGAACCATTTGTCATTTTCTATTGCAAGTGCCATAGGTAACCAACAATTTAAAGATGCACACAAAATAACTACAATATACCCATGGTAAAATATGATCACGCAACATATGGACAATATGCTAGAACTAGAATAACAGTGTGGGAGACATAAGCAACAATCAAGTATATGGACAATAAGATAAAGCTAAAAATAGTTCATTAATATCAAGTGATAGGCAGATCACTGCAACACCAAGAATGCCATTATGCTCACAAGAACAAATATCTGATGTGTGAGTGTGCACATTAGAGGGAGCTTGGTGAATAATCTTTTACAGAGAGTGAAAGTGTGAAACTAACTCTCCGTTCCTTTTTTTTTTTTCTCTCTTTTTTTGTTTCTTCAGAAACGAATTGCTTAGGAGACATGGGTAGCATCAGAACATTAAAATTCCAAAAGTATCACTAGATTAAACAAAGCTGTGTTTTATAGGAACAATTTTTTTTTTCTCATTTATTCAACCAATACCAGATTTTGCTATTGTTATCCAACATGGTTTTACCTGGCTGGCCAGATAAAGAAAAGTTGTCAGTGAATTTGTTAAATAAAACTAAAAGCTCCAAGCAGATCCAATAAGATAGAAATTGGGATATAAGCTTGGAAACAAAAAAGGCATATCCAATTAAAACGACTAAGTCATGTGTTATGATAACAAAAAAAGCAGCTTGTAAAATTTAATGCCATGCATCATGCCATCATCTACTACCAATATATTAGATGCCCACCTCATGTGTGTTTATTTCTCGTTTCCATGTAGCAGCATCCCAATAGTCAACTCCCATTTCTCCCCAATATTCACCGACACTCAGGTCAGTGTGCATTCTCACGGCTTGAGCTTGCTAATTGGAAACATTGAAAAAGACAACACATCACAAGTAGACTTTCCATCTAAATTAAACATCCATAGATGACAACCTTGTGGAATTTAAAACATAGTTTTTAATGAATTCACTATTTTGGCAATCTTTTGCTTCAATTTGTCTCTTATGATTCTGGAATTTTATTTGGTCTCATAAAAGACCAATAAATCATGTGAAGACTTGAATTCTACCCTCATTTGTAAAAAAATCCTAAAATTCAACTAAAAATCTGAACTTCACATTGGACAAAAAATTACTAAAATTTTGCACCATTGTTAGCATGTCATGGAGTTCAAATTATTTTACTTTTCGTAGTGGAGATTACACATAGAATTCATACATTTAAAAATGAGGCCTATCACGTACATAGTTATCTATATTTGCCATGTCACAAAACGAATAGAATTAGAGAAAATGAGAGGACAATTTTGCAAACCTGCTTAACCAACACAACTTGAGGAACTAAGAACACGGCAAAGAATGGCGAAGGTTTTCTGAGAAGATAAGCATAGCTGCGGAGAAGCATGATTGCTATAAGAGTCTTTCCAGAGCCAGTCTCCAAGAAAACCACCGTATTCTGCTTGATTGCTTTCTCCAATGCTTCCAGCTGATAGCTATAGTCATTTAAAAATAAACAAATTAATTAAAAGAACACTAAAGGAATTGCACCTTACATGCTTCAAAAAGGAAAGACCTGAATTACCACATCAGAAAATGAAAGGAAAAAGTATACATTTATATTTTCTTAATAACCAAGTTACCAATATAGAAAGATTAGGGATCACCTTCTGGCAAATGGGAGAGAATCAGTAGATGGTTCCTGAGTTGGATCAATTTCCATTGCAACTTGCTCCATAGTTGATGAAACTCAAAGTAAAACCAGCCTACTAAAACACTGACAATATCTTCCCTGTAAAAACATATGAAGTGAAAAGCTTCAAAATTTAGGAAACCCATTTAAAACTCACTCTCACATATCTCTCTAAAAATAAATAATTCAAACTTAAAATCTACATTAGGACCGTAAACAAAAAGGAAAAACAGAGACGAAAAATCAAAGGAGAATTGTATGAATAACCCAAT